AGTGTGAGAGTGTGAGAGTGTGAGAGTGTGAGAGTGTAAGAGTGTGAGTGAGTGAGAGAGTGAGAGAGAGAGAGTGAGTGAGTGAGTGAGTGAGTGAGTGAGTGAGTGAGTGAGTGAGTGAGTGAGTGAGTGAGTGAGTGAGTGAGGGAGGGAGGGAGGGAGTGAGGGAGGGAGGGAGTGAGTGAGTGAGTGAGTGAGTGAGGGAGCGAGTGAGCGAGGGAGTGTGTGAGTGTGTGGGTTTGCGGCGTAGGCCCTGGGCTTTGGGCGGCATGATTTTGCTTCATGCCGAAGGTGAGTCATGGTGTGCAGACATGTTTGTGACTGCAGGCATTTGTGGAAGATTAAGTTGGCGCACAGGTACTACACGACCGGGCAAAGACTCTGGCGTGTGCAAAAATTGTCACCTTCATCACAAAGAGAAGTGAGCGAATCTTAAACGAACTTATGGGAAACCAAGAACATCAGGGCTCCTTAAAAGAATCCCTGAACATTTTCTCCGACCTCGGGATTTGTATCCCCCTTGATAAATTTCGAGGGGCCCCGACCTCCCGGGATGGATGTGTGCCATCTACTTTCACTCTGGTGTAGCTGCAAGGTTATCGCGTCCAAGGCCCAGAGCTACCCAGGCGGGAGGGAGTCAGTCCTGACAACTGGTGGCAGGGGCAATGTTTTCTTCGCCCACTGTGCGCTTTTTTCCTTTTTGCTGATTATAGAACCTGTTGTTTCCTCTTGACACATCCTTCCTGCCTGCTAACACTATTTGAGTCGAACATCAAAACCAGTATGTGTCAATGTAAGGCATGATCCCAGTTGTTTTGGACCTATCAAATTAGCTGCACCGCCGCTTGTAATTTGAAGTTTCTTCGCCCCCAAAAGGGTGCGATCTTCCCATTCGCCAAACTGCAGCAGTTCAGCAGCTCAGAAACCGATGGACGCAGCAGATCCCTGAGCCGGGAGTTGCCGGGCGTTTGCGGCATCGGAGTTACCTATTTGGACATGGGTCACAACTATGGCTCCATTTTGGGTGACCGAGCCACTCGCTCAAAACCCGGGTAGATGAAGGTTAGTAAGGGATACTCCCCTTGCCGTAAGTAGTTGCGCCGGCCTTTGCATTTTCTTACAATGTTCTGGGTCAACCATTTCAATGCCGGGTTTTGATTGTGACTCATTTGGCGTTTTCGGAAAGACGCAAAGGTCAGCCATTCATTTGCAGGTTCGACAGATTGCTGGAAACAAACCACACCAGCATAGTTGTCCTTCCTAGGTTTTTGTTGTTTGACCATAGATGCTGCTCATTGCCCATACCCTCTTTCCAATCATGGAAGTGCACAGGAGGGTTTTGGAAGACTACCACCATCTTTTAAAAGGCCCAACTAACTGTCCACTGCCACGATCCTGGTGCAACATGACCGGCCCGCTTGAAACCCTTCAAAGGACGTTGCTGCCTTGTCAACGAAACACCACTTCTTTTCATTTAGCTGCCGGGGGGGAGGGGGGGGGGGTTCGCGCCGATTTTAGGACACCCAGAAGGCCATAAATTTTAGTGGGGAACCCCCTGAAAAGTGGTTGGTGGACATAAATCCCCAA